CTTGTGTCACTCCCACAACATCAATACTAATACATTTTTAGATGTATAAAGATGCATGTAATCTGCATTAATCCAAAAGAATTAGAATAAACCATAAGAAACCATTATATGTCCACCAAATGGCTAAGGTGTCAAGGATAGACAGAATTTTTTTTTTGGAACAACCAGAGTGCTCAGGTACTGCTAAAAGTTTAGACATTAATTGGTGTAAGGATTTGGAGAACACTGTAACATTAACTATTAATTATGAGCATACATGCCAACCCTTGTTGTACATTTCTACTTCGGTCTACCAACAGAAATTAATACATATGTTCCTTAAAAGATGCCTAACATGAAGCTGGAAAGATGGCTCAGAGACCTGTTGTTCTTCTAGATGTCCTGGGTTTGATTCCCAGCACCTACATTGTGGCTCACAACCATCTGTAACTCTAGTTCAAGGGGACCTGATGCCTCTTCTGACATTTCCTTTAATTCCTCTAAACATTCTCTTTAGACTTAAGGCCCCAGTAATCTAAAAGTCAAAATTCTGTATAGCTTATAGTCATGTTGAACATTTTAATAATACTCAGTGTCCATTTACTCCAAAGATCTACTACAAACATATCAAAGAAAATATTTAGTGCAATAAATATATTTTAGTCAAATAATGTATACCCAGAAGTCAAACAGTTTAGATGTATAGAAACATCAAATCAGCAGCACACATAAGCAGTTAACATATCTCACATAAGTGAATCACACCACTGTTATTTCCTGTAGGTCTATTCCATCTCATTGGGCATCACATCCTCAGGGTTTATCCAGGATAAACTACATGCAAGATTTTACTTCCCTTTAGGGCTGAATAACATTGCATCATATGTGTAGACTAGAGTTGCTCATTCGTTCATTCGTAGACAGGCATATGGATTGTTCCCAGTTTTTATCTTTTTGATTGACATTGTTCCATGCATGTTTGTGTATGCCAGTTTGAGATCTTGCTTTGAATTATTCCAGTTATAGATCTAACCTTTGTGGTGGTGATAGAGCAAGCATTCTACCACTGAGCTGTCCAAAAGCTCAAGAGTGAGTTTTTGTAAATGATGCTAATGGCCTGGATTAAAGACTGGGTCCCTCCACTCTTTGCAAATGGACTCACTGATGACTTGTTGCCGGTGGAAATCAGTGTGGTGAAACTTTGCGACAAATGTGTCAGCATGAAACCTTGGCAAATGCTGATCAAGCCAGGTGAGTCCTCCTCTTCTGGGACATTCTAACACAATCCAAGAATTGTTTGAACATGACAGAAGCATTTCAATTCTTGAGTCACAAAGAAGGCTCTACCCCCTTGGGAAACACTGTCTTGTGATCTCCTCAGGAGGGCTGCATTATTGCTCAATACATATGCAAAATAAGTGAGACTCTAAATGGATGAATCTCTCCTGCCTGCCTATTCCCAAATAACCAGTCAGAGGCTTAATATTATTTCCAAACTGTTTGATCTATGGCTCAGGCTTATTTCTTGCTAGCTCTGACATCTTAAATGAACCCATTTAATCCATGTTTTGCCACGTGGCTGTGGTGTTACCAGTCTGCTGGCATCTTGTTCCTCAGGCTGCTGGATGGCATCTGCCCTGACTCCGCTCTCTTCTTCCTGTATCTCTTGAATTTCCCACCTGGCTCTTATCCTGCCTTACCATGGACCAAAACAGCTTCTTTATTCACCAATAGTAGCAACATGTATTCACAGTACATACAGAAAGGTACAGAAAGTACAGAAGGTACATCCCACAGCAGGACTCCCATGCCCGAGGGCATCATTTCCTAAGGCACCAGTGTGCTCGGCTTAGGGCTAGCCAGTTTTTAGAGGAGGCTCAGCCTCTCCTAACACATGGGATCCCAAGAGGATAGACACCTGAATAAAATTAGACAAGCAAAGCAAGTAGAAGCCAAATACACCCTCTAAACTGTCCCTCTGTGGCAAATCACTTAAAGCTGTCGTCACTTCTATTCCAGACGATTGTGTTCTACTCAGTGTAGTATAAGCCCGCAGTATGATTACATTAGATGGTATGTCCATGCAGAGTTAATGGCTGCTGCTGTCTCCATCCTTCTTTCTTTTTGTCTCCTTAACTAGAACATTATTCGTTTTTTTCTTTTTTTAAAGAAAGCTAGTTTTCTGTATTTAGCACACAGTAGGAAAAGAGTACACTTACTTCTTAAGCATGGGCACCTAGCAAGCCAGTTAGCATATTAGATGCTCCAATAGAGAGCAGATTCAGAACTTCCTTATTTCCTAACACATACTGGGCAATTCATTCCATCAGTTGTCTTATTGTGTTATCTTCATGCAACATATTTTTAAGTATCAGCTCCAGTCCACGCTACATATTCTAAGGCACTACAGCTTTCTTTCTTGGTATTTCAAAGTACCATCAGTTCTATTTTATGCGACACTTTTCTTTTCTCCTTTGTTCTTTAACTGGCAGCATCTTTGGAAAGGTCTAACTTTCAGTATGTTGAGTTTTATGGCAGACTAAAAAAAACAACTTTTATTCATAGTAGATGAAATCCGACATTACTCTAATATGCGACAGCAAGTGGCTTAAAAAGCCTCTATCATAATCCCGGGAGATTTCTCATTTTAAAATCATCTTTTTCTCAAACCTCCCAGGAGAGTAGGCACCAATTCAGCGTTACTTTTGAATGCTATTTTCCAACCCCGTGTATGAATTGAGAACTGCTTTAACTCATGTCTGCTGGGATAAAACGGGAAATAGAAGGTTCCTGCATTCCAGGCTAAGAGCGGCAACTGTGTTGGCCAATAAAGACTTTTCCACTAGCTTACCAATCCCTCGCCTCCTACTGCTGTTCTACTGACTTTTGGACTCACCTGCTGCCCTGCACTAGGGGAATCTATATACCCTCCTGTCTGATCTATCTACCCTTCTGCACCAATGTTATCTTCTGTGTCCTCCAGAAAAGAAAAACAAACATGTTCTTTCAGTTTCTGAAATGGTTCCTCCCTTTAGGTCCATAGTGCAGTCTGTGCTCGCGTAAGTGAATTCCTTCATCAGGTCTGTCCACCAGTGCACTGCCAATCTCTGTTCAGTCATCCCATTCCAAGGTTTCTGACCATTGCAGGGGGCATGTCTCACCATCAAACACTGATTTCCATGAAGTGCTTGACCTCTCATGAATGTTTCCCACACAGACTTCTCTGTCTGTGTGGGAACTCAGAGGCTCTGGGATGTTTATCCTCCCCTCTGAGCATTGCCTTTACATTTGACTGTTGGCTTGGCTGAAATTTCTTTTGGTTACTGAAGGTGTTTGATAGGTGCTGAAAGCAGATGGAAGCGCAAAACTCATCAAGGAGGTCCTGCTAAAGGGAAAGAAAGATAGCTCCTAATGAGCAGAGCACAGGAATGCCAGAGCCGAGCTCGCCAGGGATCAAAACAACTTTGTATACTTTGTGTATAGCCGTTAAAACGGTTGTTAAGGTGATCTCAGAAAAATAACTATAACTGATAATCTACTTTGAACTAAGAATCTAACTCTTACCCTAATAAGAAGAAACCATTAAAAATTGTACTGTGTACTAACAAAACAACTGAAAGCATGTGAGAGTATTTAAACCGTCTCTAGATATGCTTGTGGATGGTAGATTAAAACCGAAAGCATCCATCTGAAACTTGCGCAGCCTGTAAATTATATAAGGAGTTGGCAAAATTTTTCTGACTATGAAGGGATTAAAATAAACTTTTAGTCAAGTACCAAAGTTAGCAGTGTTTATGGAGTGTTATTTCTTGCTAATTGAAGCATCACTTGAAATTTGAAAAGTTATTGTAAGATGGCAATCATTTTCATTGTAAATTGATGATTTCCATATCTGTCACTAGAAATTTCATTTTGAGACTCTGTGGAGTTATTCTGAAGTGATCCTAATGGAGGCATGAAAACCCTCCCTAGAGAGGGCTGACATGATGGCTTAGCAGGTAAGGAGGCTTGCAGCACACACCTGGAAATCCAAGTTCAAGCTTCTAAACCCCAATAAAGGAGGAAGGAAAGAACTGACTCCAGAAATGTGACCTCTGATCTGTCCACCTATGATGTGACCCCCAGCCACGGCATCATGTATACACAAACACAATAATAAATAAACACATAACAAACAAATAAATGAATAAAAAACCCTAAATATATACTGGGTAAAATACTGTAACATTTTATGTAGACTATTATAAGTAATTTGACCCCATTTTTGGTAAAAATATATTAAGTTGCTTAGTGGTTCACTTCATATAAACCAAGTGTGTTGAGTTTGAATAATAAAATGTATATGTTTCTATCACGTTTGAATGTGAAATATTCCCCACAGGCTCATGTGTTTGAAGACTTGGTTCCCAGAGGGAGGTGCTTTTTGGGGGAGCTTATGGAACCTTTAGGAGGTAGAGACTTCCTAGAGGAAGTGTGTAACTGGGGTGGGCTCTGAGATGTTAGAGCTTGGTCCCACTTCCTGTCCACTCAGTGGTTCTGAACTGCTGAGGTAATGTGCTGGTAGACCTCCTGTTCCCAGTGCTGAGACGTCCCATCATGATGGGTTTATCCTCTCTGGACCGAAGATCCAAAATAACCCTTTCTCCTTAGGTTGCCTTCATCAGTGTATTTTATCCAGCAACAGAAATAAAACTAATGCCAACTCTAGTTAAAGAATTTCATGCTTTTAGCTGGGCAGTGGTGGTGCACGCCTTTCATCCAGGACTAGGGAGGCAGAGACAGGTGGATCTCTGTGAGTTAAAGGCCAGCCTGGTCTATAGAGCTAGTTCCAGGATAGCCAAGGCTACATAAAGAAACCCTGTCTCAAAAACAAAACTCAAACTCAAACAAACAAAGAAAAGTAATTTTGTGTTTTTAACAGGTGTATAAATGCTGTTGATACAAATGATGAGGCTATAACATATCTGCAAAACTCAGAGCTCTTTGCTCTCAGTGTAGTTTCAGGGTTTCTTTTCTCATACCTTCACTCTGAGCACAGACGCAAACATCCTTGCATCTTCAGACACACCGCCAACGTAGAATTTCTTCTGAAACACTGGGGGGTGATCGTTTTCATCCTGAATCTCAATGTACACTTTAGCTGTATTACCTGGAAAGCAAGATATATCTTTATTGGTGATTATTCATTAGAACAAAAACCACTAGTAATGTGGACCATGAGAAACCAGCTCCCAAGATCTGCTCAGGGTAATAAATAAAAGGAATGCCTTAGAGTATCGAGGGATCAGAAACTTTTATCTGAGGGTAATTAGGAATAAGTTTTAATCTATCTATGACTGGAGAAATAAGAAAACACACATGCTTTCTGATGTTCATTTTCTTTTTTACTTCATCTTAAACGTGGTCTCTGACTCTTCCTACTGAGAGCCGCTGGTAGCAAGAGTCCATGAGAGTATACAGCAGTGACAACTAGAGTTCAGAAGGTCAACCTGTCAGAACTGAGGGTTCGGTTAGAGGAAACCATCATGCAAGGCATTGTGGAATTACTGCCTTTTGAGTGAATTGGCTGGCTGCTGTTGTAAACTTCTTGTGCAATAACAGCTATGATTCTCCCCATTTAGTGTGCATTTCCATATTATGTGTACATGTAATCATGTAATCCTTGGGCACACATGATTGTGGATAGTCTAGAAGATAGTTTCTTATTTAATTGTACAATTTTTTGAATAGAAACATACTAAAATTTGCTTCATGCTAGATCTATTATTCCATGTGGACTGTAGACACTTAGAGGTCTTATTCTCCATCCTTAGCTACTGACAAGGTAAATATTGGCCAGACAAAGAGTCTTCGTAGAACTTTCACAGAGTGGAATTGCAGGTACCTGGCCTTGTTAGATCAAAACTCTTCAGAAGAATTATAGTGAACCAGAAGTGATAGTGCAGGTGTCTGGCCTTGGTATATCTTAGTCCTTCAAGAGATCAAAAGCACCTGTATTGCCCTAAACTTCCTCCACTAGCACCTCCCCACTCTGATTCAAATAACAATTGACACTTTGTATTAATTCTACACCAGTTTTTAATGCAATATTTTAGGCTCAGTAGACTAATTATATATAGGTCCTGAGATTCAGGTGACTAACAGGCTGTTAACTGAGTAACCATATCTGGATATTATTAATCATATAAAATATTACACACATTCTTTGCCTTTTCCTTAAATCTCTCATTGGTTTAATTTCTTCCCTTGTAACCCTTGTAGCTCTCCCTTTAAGAGATAGCCAGCTCTTTTTACAACCTACAGCTGTTGTCAGTCACCAATTAGGCTGACCAGGTCTTTGCCAAGTGTGACTCTTATCAGAATACTTGTCCTTGAGAGTTTACTTTGTAGTTTTTACTAACAAGTTGCTTATGAATGGATATATATATATATTCTTAGGGGAACAAAGAAGGGGGAGAATGTGGAAAAGACCTAGATAGATATGAGAGAACAGCAAGAGAACTGATTGAGAAGAACAAAGATGAGGACGGAGATGGAAAGAACTAGGTAGAATGAAGAGAGAGCAGCAGAAGGGACTGAGGGCAGAAGGGACTGAGAGGAGCTAAGTAAGAGAGCAGAAAAGAAACTGTGCAGATAGAATTGACTGAGAAGAATAAAGTGAATGGACTAAAAAGCTCAGTGTGCTTAGATTCATGTGATATCCCTCAGATTAGAATCCTCAGCTGGTTGTTAGACTCTTCCATGGACCTTGGGAGCAAACAATATAGGCTGGATCTATTTTGTTTGCATTATCTTCCTGTCCACATTGCTACAGATCTCCACACTACTGCACACAGCTACATATCTTTAATTATACAAATCTTTTCACATGGCTGCACATCTTTCTTTTACATTACTCACTCATTCTTTCACCCCTCACTCCCTCACACTTCTCTCATGCTGCTTCTTCTTCATCTTTCACTCAAGCATGCGCGCGCGTGCATGCTCACGCACACACACACACACACACACACACACACACACACACACACACACACACTTCACTCACATTTTGCAGCAGCTCTCACATAGCTCTACACAGCCATCTGTCTCCATACCACTGCTGCTGCTCCACAGCCAAACTCTGGACAATTATAAGTTACATTTTCAGGGCCCTACCCATTCTCAAGACACAAGGTAAGTCACATAGCTTCTCTTAGGCTAGTAATGTCACACTGACCCATGCATGTAACTCTAAGTTGGTGAGGGGTCCCAGACAGTTAACAACTGGCTGAATTGACCAGTCAGGGTACCTGCAGAAAGGGAGCTACTGCAAGGACTATGTCTTGATGTAAACAGCCTGGCCTTGATTTAGCAATAGACAACACCTGGGAATTAGTCTTTGTATATTCTGTGAGGGCAGCTTGGTCTGTTTTGGACTAGTTCTAAGGTCTTTGCAAAATGTGTAAAAGCCTGTCTTTGAGACTGAGAATACTGTTACTTTCCTGTGTCAGTAACGAATGTTCTGGTAATACTTCTGTTCACCAGAATTATACAGCTTAAACAGAAATCCACACCTAAACGTGTGCCCAGAGATGCAAAGCACACTACCAAAGGGCTGTGGAGAGCACCCCACAGCTGTCCTTATAGGGAGGTGTAATGGCGGCACTCGAGAAAGTTACACACAGAAAACAGCCGGTTTCCACAGCCAGGGACCCCACGGCTTGGCCAGTGGGGCTCCCCATCAGGGAGTTACACATCTGGTGGGTCGACTTGTCAGACACTAGTTGTCACTTGCTGTATACTCCCATGACCTTTGGTACACTAAAGTAATTTTTATCATACTTTTAAAAAAGTGATGCATGTAATTTGTTAGAAGGTCATTCCTTGCCCAATTCTAGATCAAGAGATGGAGAAGAACGGTACTGGTAATGTTAAATTTTTACTTTTTGAGGGACTAGACATTGAATCTAGGGCTAACGAGTGCTAAGCAAATGTTCTTTCAGTGTTCTCAAACTGCCACCATCTGAATTACCATGCTATAGTAATTTACTTTCCACTGAAACTTGTTTAATTTATTTTCCATCTTGTAGTAAGTAATAAATGAGCTATCCAAATATTTCTTTATGGTGTTACTGGACACCAGCTTACTGAAAACCAGTCGGAACTGTATTACAGGTCACATTGTTCTATATGGTGTCTATATTTGACTAAGTAAGAACTGGAGAATTCAAATTTTCACTTGCATATTTGTTAACACAATACATACATACATATATGCACACATATACAAATGATAATTTTTAAGATAAATCATCTCTTGTCACTATTGAATATCTTTTGGTTCAATGGCCTGGGCCAGCTCATGAGGGCTTTGAGGTAAGAAGGCTTATGGGCAACTCAAAACACAAGCTGTCACTTGAAGATGAAGGAATGGGGAGGCTATGGGTTGGGTGTGATTGTCTCCTAAGGTGTCTCATGTTGGAGATTTGGTCCCCTGGGTGGCAATATTAGGAAGTGATGGAACTGTTGAGATTGGGACTTTTGGGGGAAGTCACTGTATGTGCTGACCCTAGAAGAGACAATCATCAAGGGCCCGTGTTAACTATCTTGGAAGTTTGTCTTAAGGGGAAAAATGATGCTCTATTTGTTTTGACTTTAGTTCTTTCCAGGTAATTTACCCTTTCAATGCACATTCCTCCACAAAACCTGGACCAAGTCAAGTCCGAGACCAACCCCTGAGCCCACAAACTAAGAATCAGATAAACTACTTAATAAAGTACATAGTCTCAGGTAATTTATTAGCGTAACAAAAATAATTGAAAATCCTAAAAGAGGAGTAAATGGTAGATGTTACCAACTTTTACTATAATGGATTTTCCTTTTCTTCCTCCCCTCCCTTCCCCCTCCACTCTCTTTCTTACTTTTTCTTTCTTTCAGACAGAGTGACCTCAGATTTGCCACGTAGTATCAGGGATGACCCTGAGCTTTTGATTCATTTGCCCTTACCTCCCCAGTCCTGGGATGAGAGTCATTCTCCACTAAGCCCAGTGTTTAGGTGCTGAGCATCCAACCCAGAGCCTTGTGGGTGCTAAGCAAGCATGCTCCCATCTGAGCTCCATCCCTGTGCCATAATCTTTACTGCTATTGATTTCAATTCTGGTTATGATTGTACATGCTGACAACTAGTGATTTTGCTTATGGTTTCTATGTGCAACAGTTGAAAATATAAAGGTCAGTTTTGAACACACTGTAAAAAACGTTGAGGTCTTTGAAACATATTTACCTTTCCCGGGCATTTTAACAAACAGCAGCAGAAGGCTGGGGAGTTATAAATAAGCTGCATTTGTAGGGACACTCCACCTTAGCAAAAAGTTCAAGAAGCCAATACACCCTCAGGCGTTAGGAAAAGTAATGTGGATGTCAGTGTTAGAACTTAAGGCAGTGATTCTCAACCTATGGGCCACAACCCCCTGGGTCAAATGGCTCTTTCACAGAGGTCACTTAAGACAATCGGAAAACACAGATATTTACATTATGATTCATAGCAGTAGCTAATTACAGTTATGAAGTAGCAATGAAAATAATTTTATCATGGTGGGGGTGGTCACCACAACATGAGGAACTGTATTAAAGGGTCGCAGCATTAGGAAGGTTGAGAACCACTGACATGGTTTGTAAAAACATCAATTACATACATTTACAAATGCACAGGAAACATTTTAAATAACTCTAAAGCACCTACACAGCAAGTTTTAGTAATCTTTAAAATAAATATGCATAGAAAAAATACAAATTCCTTTTTATATTTCCTCTAAAGCAGTTGATTCCATTTTAGTGACGGAAGTGAGCTTTTCATCATGCTGTCTCACCATGATGCACACGGGCTGTCAGCACTGCTAGGCTGCATCATGACTGCATAGAGACTATACTTAGCTTACATCAGCTCTATGACTAAATCATACAGAACTATACACTTGAGACTGGTGCTCCCAGAAACCATGCAATCATGGCATTGCTATTCTTTTTATTTTACACACACACACACACACACACACACACACACACATTGGTGAAATTATTAAGGCCACTCCACGTAGTTAAAAGGGAGGTTTATTTTATGGGATAACTTACAAGTGAAGGGATAGGTAGGTTGCAGGGTCTGGGAAA